GACCAGCAAAATATCTGTGACACTCTTCCTCATTTTTCTTGGTCTCCTCTACTGGTGAGTATGTCAATGATACACTTTTTTCAAGGGAAATGAGGACACGTAGATAATCTGCTAGTGCCACAAAGCACATACACTGACATTTTATAGAGCGCAAACGAATGCAACAATAACTCTAGACAGAATCCGGGTAAAGGTGAGCTCTGTTCTTTACTGCATTTGATATAAATTCTTTTCATTCAACCTACAAACAACACATTTCTGCACTTTTGCCTGTAGGTATTCAGTCCGTCCCTTCTCAGTCCTCTCACGATGTGGCATCAAACATCCAAAGCCAGTGCCTTTCTTTGGCAACTTATTCATGTTTCAGCAGGTAAGATACAGTGTAACAAAGGAAGACCAGAGTTACCTTCAACATCTGCTTCATTTTGCATCAAACTGGGATGGTTCCCTTGTTCCTACTTTGTAGTACTGTTACATCGACTGTATTTTTTTAAATATTCTTTTCAGGGTTTTTTCAAACCTCTGAATGATCTTATCAAAACATATGGTAAAGTATGTGGGTAAGTAAAAATACATCCTACAACAGCAACTACTGAAATAAGATTGTGAATATTTGGATGATCTGATATCCTTGTGTTGGTGTTGTTCCCAGATCATCATGAAAATGTTGTTCCAGGTTCAACATTGCAAGTGACCAATCACATTATTGTGACGTTATTCTTTTGCGCACCAACCCATTCGTGCATTTATGAAATTCCAATGTTGCAAGGACAATATCAATTCTGCTTAGTGTTTATTAAAGGGTTAGGGTCAGGGTCCGTTGATCGGCGGACAAAGGCGGTTTCTCGCAGCTTAAGTACAGTTTTTTGTTTTACGCCGGTTTTTCCCGAAGTCGCAAAAGTATGACATCACAACATTCTGATTGGTCACTTGCAATGTTGATCCTGGAACAACCTTTAGTATGATGATCTGGGAACAACACCAACACGAAGATATCAGATCGTGCTGAATATTTTGCTTATATAAATAATCTGCAGTTTGAGGTGATACTTTACCCATCATGTTTTGAATGGACTCATACTTAGTATACCACCTATAGTGGTAGCAGACCCTGATATGCTCAGACAATTGCTGGTGAAGGACTTCAGCAACTTCCCTAACAGAAATGTAAGGAAATTATACAAAGCAAAGATGCAACATGTGTGTTTATTCCTGATTGTCACACAAGAGTTACTGAGGGGTTATTACAGTTTTTTTTTTTTGCCTGTGCTCTCTTATCTCTCTGCAGAGATTAGTGTTTACCAAAAAGCCTGTATCTGATTGCCTTGTCCAGTTAAGGAATGAACAGTGGAAACGAGTACGGAGCGTCGTGACCCCAGCTTTCAGTGCTGCCAAGATGAAAGAAGTGAGAAAATAAAGTCCACATTAAGTGAGATAAGATAAGATAAGATACATGACATCACATCTCATCTTGGGGTGGCTGTAGCTCAG